TTGTATAGCGACTAGTCGCTGCAATACACTAACAACAATCGCACTTTAAAAATGGGTTATTACCGTGTATATATTGTTATAACCTCACTTTTCTTAAATCTCTTATACCTCGGCTCTCAGATTGCCAAAATCTGCAAAATTTTCAGTGATTGTCTGCTTATATAGTAGCTATCAATTGACACTAATTTCATCTTTTTACATCTAGGCCCAAAATTGTATGAAAGGGTATCCGTCTCCTTTGAACACAAGTATAAAGTAAAGTATTTATGCTTATCACTTGTGTTAATGCTACATTAACTTATTAGTTGTAGTTGATCCAATGCAGACTCATCATTATTCGTACAATAAACTCATTATGTTAAACTTATCAACTCATAAAATATATACACCGTGAAATCTATTTGGATTTCGTCCCGAAGCAAAATGGTTTTGTCTTCTGTAGTAATACAATAGTTTAACAAAGAAATAAATGTTTAAAACTAAAAATATGTCTGTATTACCTTTCGTGAGACATACTAAATAAATTATTATTATGTTTTCGGCTTACTCACGTAATTATTGACGAGGAACTCGACTAGTTTCCAGCCGTGCTAGAGGCTCATGTTCATGAGCAGCATTTCGCGACCTGTGACGCGGCGACTCTGACTGAGTCTAAATAATCTACTCTACTACTCGAGTTCTAAATAATTACGTGAGTGAGCCGAAAAAATAATAATTTAAAAAATATGCCATAGTAGTACTCAATGAATCCATATTACATTAAATCTAGTAATTCTCGAAAAGGTATTTCTCGTTGGATGGCACACGCGATGTGAACTGTGCCTACAAAGTCACATCTAGTGTTTCATGTACGTATTTCCACGATATCTTTTTTTAAACTAATAAATAATTACATCTTTATTTTTTTATTTTTACTTTATACATCGAAAGTACTATGGCAAGTTGTTTTGCATCGTATAGGGACGAAAACGAAATAGATTTTACGGTGTATTATCCTATCGAACTTCCAACTATAATAATATAATATGATAAGTGTGGGAGAGCCATGCTTCAGCACGAATGGGCCGGCTCGACCGGAGTGATACCACGGCCTCACAGAGAACCGACGTGAAGCAACGCTTGCGTTGTGTTTCATCGTGTGAGTGAGGTTACCGGAGGCCCAATTACCCTTTCCCAATCTCCCCAATTTCTGAATCCCCAACGATCCTCAAACTCCTAATCCCCAAAAGGCCGGTAACGCACTTGTGACGCCTCTAGTGTTCCAGGTGTCCATGGGCGACGCCGATTGCTTACCATCAGGTGATCCGTCTGCTCGTTTACCGGCTTATCACATAAAAAAAAACAAGTTGGTATAAAGTATTCACGCTTATCACTTGTGTAAATACTACATGAACTTAGCAGTCGATCCAATGCAGACTCATCATTATTCGCACAAGAAATTCATTTTTCAATATGTTATTCTACTTTCTACTAATCCTTACTATAATATTATAAATCGGAAAGTGAGATTGTTTGTTTGTTCCGCTTTCACGCCGTAACTACTAAACCGATTGCTTTTAATTTTTGCAGACGTAAAGTTAGAAGTCCGGATTAAATAATAGGGTACTTTTTAACCCGGAAAAAATTGTTATTCCCGAGGGAAAACAAAAGTATTGGTATAGATGGCGCTGTGTATTGGTATTATGTCACATAGGCTACTTTTTATCCTTTTGTGACGCGAGCGAAGCCGCGGGTAAAAGCTAGTATTATAAATACGAATGTTTTTGAGGATGTATGTCTGTGTGTGTGTGTGTTTGTGTTTGTTTGTTACTTTTTCACGTCAACAGCTAAAGGGATTGATATGAAATTTGGAACAGGGGTAGATCCTGGTATATACACATAGGCTATTTTTTATTCTACGAGAACGCGACCGAAGCCACAGGGTAGTACAAAAATAAAACACAAAAAAATAATTATGATAACATCATTGTATTTACAAAATATTGCACTTGGCGAGCGCCGCGACGCACTGACTTATTTACTAAAAATATATTGCACACACATTGCACCGGTATACAAGATCAACAGTTTCTTTATATAAACACATTCATGCGAGTAAATAATAAAATAATTATAAGAATATACATTTTCACATAATTATATTGTCAAATAAGGATAGTTCCTTATTATTATTTTATAATTATACAAAGAAATATGTTAAAATATGTATGTATATAGATTATAGATAGAGAATATAAAATACATTTAATTATAAGCACTTGTCTCAACATTCGATACAAAATATTTTCAGATAAATAATAAAAACTAAACAAGTAAATATTTCGACTTGGGTATACTCTACCATGCGGCCAAATGTTACTTAATAATAATTCTTATACTTAAATCTTAGTATTAAAAAATATCTTTAACATTTTTACATGAAAATTGATGAGACAAGCGCCTAAATATATATATTTATTGAAGTAAATATGTTTAAAAGAGAATTGCTATTTATATTCTACAGGGGATGTATAATATAATTGAGATTACCGACTTTTATATTAACAAACTTATGCCAGTCTCATCTTAGGTTAGATTTATAAAATAAAGAGTCGAAATTCTTAGAAATATCGTAATATATCATCGTATTTTGGAGACCTCAAAAGACGTCTCCAAAGATCAAGCAATGGTATGCATGTATGACAAAATTATGGTGAAATATATCAAGGTAAAATTGGGATGATGACAGGGTATGAAAATTAAAAATCTAATTAGTCCGTAAGTTAGGTAAAGAAAAAATATTAGACACGTATTTTTTTTATATTGTCGTATAAGAAAACAATACTTAGATAAAACGAATCAAAGTTTAGAAGTGGGGGCTAAAACATCATTTCTACGTATTAAATGTACATAGAAGTGACGTCACGCGACATTTCAACAAATCAATATATCGTCGAAAGTATTCGTTTCTGTAAGAAAATAAAAAATACGTGTCTAATGTTTTAAAATAATCTACCGGACGGACATTAAAATAAAATTAGGCATCTACCCTTTTGTCAATTTGTAAGAGCTATAAAAATAGGGTATCAAAAACTCTTTCCTCTCGATACAGATGTATAAATTGGTCAAAGATATACAGTTCTCAAGTTCGTATAAAAATGAAACGTCTTGTCATCGTGGTTCAAAGTCGGTAAAGTGGTATTCAAATCGCTATAGTGGAGCAGTGATAGACTAGACCATCGTCTACTAGCACTATTCTAAATACGGAGTGTGTATTAAAATAAGGGCAAAATGTTATTTATAACAAAAAGAAACAGATTTTTCATTGATTAGTGTAGATACAGCCAAGTTACTTGATACATTTTAACTTTAAATAGGTTTTACCGAAATATTTAGCATAATTTGTCAAATTAGAAACAGTAAGCAATCGGCGGAGCCCATCGAACACCCACAACACCAGAGGCGTCACAAGTACGTTGCCACCTTTTAGGGATTTGAAGATTTGAGGAAGGAGCTTGGGAATATTCAATACACACCCCATATACTTAATTATTCTATGTATAAAGGTTATTTTCAAAAAATAAATAACTACATACATAGTTTTAACATTAACATTCGATATACTTAATAACCTTATTACGAAATAAGGTGGTATACGTGTGTCACATACAAATAGTTAGAAATACATGATAATACAAGTTTTATATAATTTATTTTTAAAAAAATCAAGAAAATATGTCTGTCACGATGTGATTTATTGTTTAAACGATGTTTTTTTGGAAATCTGTTTTTTGGTTACCTTTAAATAGCATGCTATGTAGCGTGTAAACAGCATGCGATCGCATGCTATTGTCAAAAAATTATGTGTTAATTATTTTTACACAAAAATTATCAAGTGTGAAAAGAACAAATATAATATTAAATTTAATAGTTTCTAATAAAAACATCGTTTAAATTTAGTCTTTTACTTGTTCAGTACTTTTTAGTTTTGTCTGTAGAAGATGGCTGTATGTATTTTAAAAGTTTGTAGTAAGTATTAAATTGTGATTTTGTTTTTCGTGTCTCTGTGTATGTATGTCTCTTAAACTCCACGAATCTTCAGTAAAAATGTAATATTGACTCATTTTTTATAATTCTATTCATTCTATTACTATAAAATAATATTTTTGTGAAAACACATATTGCACTATTCTTTAATACGAAACGAAATATGTATTTAAGTAAATATACTAATTTTAAAAATATTGCACTAATAATTTGGAATATTTTACATAGTAATGTTATATTTGAATACTGGAAATAAACCTTCCCTTTTTCTTTTATAATTTTTGATATCAATGCTTGAAAGTTCAATTAAAACTTATTAAGATTCAGGCATTAAAAACTCATCAATGTTTTTTTAATATATTTTTTCTAATGAAATAAAAATATCATGAATACATCTTTGAATTACAGTTACAAAATCAAATAATTTTACAAAATCAATGATTTGACAAAAAAATAAATTTAGTTTTCTTTGAGAATACGCCATATTATCTTCGTTACTTGCAAAAATATTTGAAGATATTTTGTCTCGATGTTTAATAATCTTAGCATCTTTACGTCGTCGTCGGTACTTATATTTATTAAACAAACATTAACATGTTTTCCTTCATATATACTTTTACAATAACTATCGAGAGACATACTAAATTAAGTAAAATCGCGGGTTACTCACGTGAATACACTGAGTAAAGCTCTACTAGTTTCGAACCACAGAGGGGTTCTTCCTCATGAACCGCGTGCGCGGTCGCGGCGACGTCGCTTGGCTCACTCAAGCAAGTCGAAAGTAGGCTTTTCTCAGTATATTCACGTGAGTAACCCTTAATTTTACTTAATACACTTTTACAATCGAAAGTCAAGTACAAGTAACTTTTAAGTAACATTTTTTAAGTAAAATTAGTTAGTTTTTATATAATTTGATCCATGGCAGGAAGAAAGTCACCTGCCCTGTTTTCAGTATAGGTTATTAAGGGAGTACCTCAGGGCAGGTACCCCAGCGTGTCCTCCAGGCTGGCGTTCCTGGTGAGTGGCGCGTGCAGCGCGGGGCGCGCGGCGGGCGGCGCGCGGCCACACAGCGCGCGCACGTCGGTGCGCTGCGACAGGCGCACGTCCGCGAACAGAGCGGCCATCTCCGCAGACTTCTTCACTGATAGAGCCTCCTGGGACCCCGCGCCTGTACTGCGCACTGGAATGGGGATGGCATTAATGAGATATTTAGTAAACGTGAGGACTTGTTATTGGCTCATTGTTACCTACGCCTATTGTTATTTTTATCCATTTTTATAAGCTGTAAGTCCTCCATGAATTATAAATAAATAAATAACTATAGTGTAACATACTAAATTAACTAAAACTCGCGTGTTACGTAAAGTTCTACTAGTTTCGAACCATAGAGGGGTTCTTCCTCATGAGAAGCGTGCTAGACTATTTCATATGAATAACCCGCGATTTTTAGTTAATTTAGACATTTTTGCTTACAAAATGATACTGATTTAGTTTTTTTACGGAATAGAAGGAAAACGAGCAGACGGACCACTTGATGGTAAGCCATTAGCGCCGCCCATAGACACCCGCAACACCAAAGGATTCACCATTGCGTTGCCGGACTTTTAAAACGGAATACACTCTTTTCTTCAAGGTTTGAAGGTCGTATCGGTTCGGAAATACCGCCTACGACAGATCATTCCACAGTTTTGTTATGTGAGGTAGAAAGATAGGACAGAAGCACACAGTTGTGGTCTGCCAACCATCTATATGATATATGGTAAATTGGCAACTTTAATAGAGTCAATGTTTAAAGAACAATCTAAACAAGTTCAGTCTTTCTGATTAGGTTACTCTAAAAAAAATAATAAATCAAATTGCAGTCACAATCTCTTTTACGATTTAGAAATAACCGTGGTAATTCTAACTTTTCTGAATTAATTTTAATTTAGCCTTGAATTGATCTAGATCGACCTAAATGTCAGCGATAATTTCAACGTGATGACATAGAAGAGTTACGACATTTTTAGTGAGAACATAATCAGAATTTGATAACCATAAAACCAAGTATATGGTTAAAAGCTCCTCTTCAAATCTCTTGACAGAAACTGTGTAAGATTTCTACTAAAGTCGGCCTACAAAATCATCAACCCCGAAGGAGTAGGCTGGCGAAGACTCACATACAAAACCGACGTGGAACAACGCTTGCGTTGTATTTCGTCGTATGAATGAGGTTACCGGAGGCCCAATTACACTTCCCGTCTCCCTAATCTACTCAATCCCTGAAACCCCAACAATCCTCAAATTCCTAATTCCCAAAAGGCCGGTAAGGCACTTGTAACATCTCAGTGCCTTTAGCCAAATGCCACTTTAACGCTTGTCTACTTAGAGAGTAGAAAAGTAAATGTATGGGGATGACATTGACAAGTGTCAAAATTTACGTCAATTACATATAATTTGGTTTTCTATTCTAGAGGTACATGTAGACAAGCGCTAAATGGCTAAAGCTGCTGGTCTTCCGAGTAGACGCCGATTGATAACCATCGGGTGATCCGTCTACTCGTTTACCGGCTTATCCCATAAAAAACATATTAATTAAATTATCGCTCATCATTAGTCATTATGCTATAATATCATATTGAATTTTGAAATTAGTCCAATCAGCAGCAGTCGCACTTGCCACCACTAAACAGTAAATTTATTTATTTATTTATTTAGGTTCTTCACAGCTTAAAAAATTATATGATTACAACCAAAACAGATATCTGATTCATTACGCCAGTTATGAGGAACACGTGAAAAAACAGAATTAAAATACAAAAGTGTTGCTATATTTATGAAGGAGACAGCTATCTATGTCAGTCTATGATTTTATTGTAGGTATAAATTGTAGGTACTTGATGATATACTTAGAGTGAATGAGTTTGTGTGGATGTCTTTCTGTGGAGTAAGTTTTAGTAGGTAAGTTACCAAATGACTGTATGACTTTATTCTTGGATACATTATGTATTAAAGAGATGTAAGTAAAGGAAATCTTTAATCTAATCAAGAAAAATAATAACTTGAACCTGTGTTACCGGTAAGTCTCTGCATGTTTCTTGTCCGTGGTTTATTTTGCAGCAGTAGTTCATAGTCTAGTGCGAGACTGTCAGAGCTGCGCGCGCGACGACCACGCTCCGACCGACGACGACCACCTGCGCTGGCGCCCCAGCGACTGGAACATGGTAAAATACGTGATTAGATTTTGTTATACAACATCACGCCTTTTATCCCCGAAGAGGTAACCATACGTGCATACTACGGCACTTAATTCTACTATACAATGTAACACCCAAATACGTAAAAAATACGTGATTAGATTTTGCTCTGCTTAAATACATTTCAAGATGGATAAAAGTGATATTAGGTCTATCGACATAATTCTTGTTCTTGTTCTTTTAAAAAATGTTGCCCCACACTAGGATTTTCTCCTGTGTCGTGGGTGCGTTTTTGAAAAACCAAATAATTGACGGAAGACATGCTGATGCTTGAAAATGATCTATCAGATTAAGACTTTGACTGCCAATAAAAAACTGTTGAAGGTAAATCCTCCGCTAACGCCGGTCACCGGTGACCCCCATGGCGTTTAACGTGTTAAATAGTAAAACATCAAGGCATAAGAAAATAATATTTTTTACGACTAAAGCAGACAAAACAGCCCATAGGTTTCATCTTTCTAAGTGAGCGTCTGAAATTATATTTAAAACACAAAGCTGGCTCACCTAGTCCTTCCACTCTTATCATCACTTATCCTCATCCTGTCGCAGTAGGACATGGAGGAGCTCCGAAGGTACTCCATGCTGTGTGAGGCCTGCACCCTTCGAGGACCGGTGCAGTAACACTTGTTACTGTCTGCACAGCTTTCGGAGTCACAGGAACAGTAGCTGAAGTCGCCATCGTAGCATTCTCTGGAATTGTGGAAGAGCAAATATGAATTGAATTGAAAATATGAATTGACGGCACGGTTGGTGCGGTGGCTGGGCAACCGGCTGCCGTGCAACGTGTCGCGGGTTCGATTCCCGCACGGAACAATACTTTGTGTGATCCACAAATAGTTGTTTCGGGTCTGGGTGTCATGTGTATGTGAACTTGTATGTTTGTAAACGCACCCACGACACAGGAGATAATCCTAGTGTGGGGCAAAGCTTTTATTTAAAAAAAACAAATGGCGATAGTAGAATTGAATAAATATATCGATCTTCAGGTGGGTGTCAACTACCTAATAGGATTGTTAATAGCAAGCCAAAATCTGTGGATAAAGTCGATTTTTAACCGATTTCAAAAAAGGAGGTTCTGAGTTTGACCTGTGTGTATGTCCACATGGCTACACATCGAGTTTTATGTAGCCAGTATAAACTTAACGTTAAATGTGCGGAAAGATGATGCGACGCGACACCAGGATAAACTGGTTTTGTATAGATTGATGTGTGACCGTGTGTACGTATGTTTATGCGTGGTTATCAAATTGTACTTAAATTTATTGTCATCACTCTCATTTTACAAAGAATTTGTAGTGACAGAACTACCCAGGTACTTAAGCACGACTTAAAATTGAATTTCGTTTAAATATTTGAACATTAGGAGAAGATAGTATATTAAAAGAGAATGTTTGAAGTCGGCTTTGTCAAAAGTAGTTTTTAAAAAGACTATTGACAGTAGTTGTATGAAAGTTTCAATCAAAAACAGGGATCAGTCCAGGCTTTTTGGATTACAATCGGTTATAAAATTTTGGCCATAACAGACTAAAATATAATTAATAGGAGCCGTCGGTAGAGGGCGCTCTAGACGGACATATAGTGACCAGATTGGCGATATATTAAAGAAAGGCCAAATTAAAAGTACCCTTAACCGACGAGCATGCATGAAAAGATTGATGACTGTTAATGAAGCGAAAGAGGTATGTAAGAATCGTAGTGGCGTTGGCGTTCCTTAGTCTCTGCCTACCCCCATGGGAGACAGGCGTGAAGTTATAGTTATAGTAATAGGCCAAACTGTGTTTTCTGATAACCCTGATCTTTTTAAACTGCGCAACCTAAGTTTGATTAATATGGAGATAATGACAAACTTATCTTTTGTCTCTACAAAACAAAAACATATTTATTAAAGAGAGTCCAATACTGGGCTATAGACATCTGTCGATAGGCCTTTTTTTATGAAATAGGAGGCAACCGAGCAGACGGATTACCTAATGGTAAGCGATCAGCGCCGCCCATGGACACCAGCAATACCAGAGGAGTCACAGGTGCGATGCCGGCCTTTTAAATAGGAATACGCTCTTTGCTTCAAGGTTTGAAGGACCTAAGACTTAAGACCCTATGCCTATAGCCCAGTATTGGACTCTCAAGAGTGATTGATGGTGATAATGATGATAAATTATTAAACTAGAATAGACGTGATACGAAGAAATTAAAGATCAAATTCAGTGGCGTGATTTTGGTGAGGCAAACAACGATGAAGATGAAACAAACGATACAATAGGATTTATGAAGACAGAGAAAAGCGATACTAAAGTTATTCTAAAAACTCAATTGTTTCGTGAGCCAGTCTATAACAATAAAATTTATCTAATTCATCCAACAATGTACTAATCAAGCCAAATATTTTGTGAAATTAATTCCTAAATTCAACAGTAAATAAATCTTCATTCAGTTCAGTAACTCACATCCCAGCCGTCTTTTACGCTCTAATTCTCTTCCACACATTTCATTTCTACTACAAACTAGATACTATTAAATACAACCATAATACGAAGCAATAAGGTTGAGATTGAATCGTGTAAAAGGATATTTAATATAATTAATATACCTACTATCTCTTTTACTCCTATTGGCTGATGTGTCCAAGTCGTCGAAAGTAGAGAAATTTTTCATTAAAATCAAGTTACTTTAATAATGTTTGTGGATTGTCTTAATGAATAAATTTTTATTTATAAGTTTCTTAATGTTTTAGTTTTCTTCTTTTTAATGGAAGGGTCTTTTAATGGCGGTTATTATTCACATTATTACTTTTTGTATGACGAGAATTTAACGTCTTTTATAATACATGTCTTGACATTTCCTAATTTCCAAAAAACTGAGTATGATGCCTGACACTTTGTTAAGGTCGATAGGAGACCTACGATCCGACAGATCACCTAATTATAAGTTACCAGGACCACCCATGGACACCCACAACACCAGAGGAAATAAAAACGTACAATGAAATGCAGTATGTAGTAATTCCGAAATTGTATAAACCCCAATTTGAATAGTTGATTCAAGGAGTTAGATAGAAACCTATAAGACTTTGCTTAACAGCCATTGTATTATAAAATCGTCCCATAGAATCGTTCAAAACAAGAAAATAAAACCATAGTCACTACAAGCTATTACTGAAGACTTTCACGCACTAAGTCAATGTCTTAATCCCAATCACCCGGCTTCAATTTGCGAGAAACACTAAAAGGTTCAACGTAAATATTAGTCACATTAAAGTTGTCTTCAATGGTGCCAATTACTTAAGGCTTATTGTCCTCGACTCGTCATTTGACGAATTCATACATTCTACAAATGACAAATGCATCTTGCTTAGAAACAATGAAAATTGTCCATAAAGTGGCAATTGAAGGCCGCCTATCGTAATTTTTAGGATACATACAATTGTCAAGGGCTGCCTCGTTGGCCGAGTGCGACTAAGTAAGGGGTGTCGAGTTCGATTCCCGAGTCGTTCAAAGTATTACTGGGTTTATAAAAATTCTCAGTGGTAGCACGGAGTCTGGAATTGTGCTCGGTATATGGCAATAGGCTCACCCCCTATTACATGGGACTCATAACATAAATAGTGAAATGTGGGTGTTAGATTGTACAGTGGCATTAAGTGCCCTAATGTGGACCTCTGCCTATCCCTTTGGAGATAAAAGGCGTGATATATACAATTGTCAAATGATGCATTGTGGACGGTAGGCTATTGCCATTCAACATAAACGTCAGTCACATCAAATTTGTCATCAACGGCGCCAATTACTTAACTTGCTTGCTTGCTTCTAGTTTTTTATAGTAGCCATTAAAGCAAATATTTATACGAAATTACTTTCGATAATTATGTTGCAATAAATTTTATGCTTCTTAGAAATCTAGTATTTTACGAAATATTTATAGTTGGACCAAATACGAAGTTGGGTTTTGTACAATTCCTACGGTTTTACTGTGTCATTTACGATTGTTGTTGAGTTCGGATTTATGTGTAATAAAATTTTGATTCCTATTTTAGCCTCAGGTCTTGAGTTTAATTTTATGATCTCCAGCGTCTTTTATGGTCTGTTTGCTAAGCTACTACAGAAGAGAGAAAGTATTTGATTTATGGTACACTTCATTTGTCTTTCATTAAAACAATCATTATTTCCTCTGTATAATGGTATCTCGTTAGATTAACTACTTCACGGATTTTCATAAATGTCAGTCACTACTAAGATAGACAAGCCTTTGACGCCAATCATACTCAATTTAGCGAAGATAAATTTATAAATAAAATCAACTTAAATTATTTTAATGACGTTGTACAAAGTAAAGTTGCCACGATCAAAGCCACAGGCAGGTTCTCATATTCAAGCAAACACACACCATCACAACTTCCTCTACCTTTATATATACACAATAGCTCTTCAGGATATGTCCATCAGTCTTTGATCTTACTTGACCATACATATATCGTGGTATCCGGTACCATAAGATTTTGCATTAAAGACTTCCTCTGCAAACACTTTATTAATGAAATTCTCACATTATGTCAAATAAGTAAAATTTAGTACATAATTTAACCAGCTTAGAATCTGATTGGCTGGATAAGCTGATGCGCTCACTCTTCATTCATTGACACATTTTGTATAGAGCTCATGTCAACATTCTATCTCTAGTAATCAAATCTACAGATAGATAGGTTATAGAAACTGGACGTAAGTGATATTAGGAACCTAAAAATAAGTAAAGGATAATTTGTACTCACTTTGAACAATCTTTGCAGCTCTTGCTTTTACTCAAAAGCTTGGATTTCGCCGAGTCCTTGGTTTCCATCGCTGAGCAATAGCATTTGGACTTGCTTCCACCTTTCAAGGAGCAATAACATCTATCAACACAGCTCTCCGACTCACATTCAGAACAAGACACATAACCACTGGAACTGTTTCTGTTCTGACATCCTAACCTATTGCTCAGGGTAAGAAAATCCGAGTCTTCTGACGTCGACGTCCTTTCTCCAGGCCTAGACTTTCCAGTTCTCTTTGAAACATGGACCATCTTGTCAGATCGCTTTGACTGTCTCTGTCTCGATGCCTGTCGCTTTGGTGGAGGTAACATTGGCTCTTTCGGACGAAATTGCCGCAAATCGTAACTAGATGTCGAAACTGAACTTTCGGATACAGGGTCTTTCGCTAAATCTTCGCAGCCAAGAGGCTTGCTCTCTTTACTTCTAATGTCTTTGCCAAATGGCATTCTGAACACCATTCGGAGACCACTCGCGCCTTTCAATATCTTCCGTCTCTTATTCTGAAACATACTGTTCCTTCTGAGTATCTTTTTCTTTTGTTTCTTCATTATTGCTTTACTATGTTGGAAAATCTCGTCTTTCGTCAAAGTTACGGCTAGTTTTAATAGGAATTCTTTGTATATCGGTTTTAAGTCATTGAAGGACATCCCTTCAGCATCTATTATGGCATTTAGGATTTCATCCATTGAATGCAAGTTCTCCTGAACTTTGAATTCATTAAAAAGTTCATTGAACCCTAACGGTGACCCACCTCCTTTCTTACCGTTGTTTCTGGAATAAAAAAATAAAACGTAAGTAAGTTTTATCGTTGCAAACGTTTGCACTGCAGTCTTAAGAACACAGTACCGCTAACTTGAGAAAGCAGGTAGGTGCATCATTAGTCGACTTTTAACGTCTCAAATAAATATCATGTGGTTATTTTCAGAACTAAGTACTTAATCATTTGTTAAATTCGCTTTAACATAATTCGAGCCAGTGTGCTACGAATTATAATTGAGTTTGAATTTTGCACAGTACGCAAAACTGACGAGTCATTGATGAAATTAACGGCAATAGGAATAAAAAAAATTAGAATCCTATTAACAAAAAAGCAGAGTACATTGGCTTTCTCAATAAGGATGTTGCAACTGTAATGATAGTTAAAAATAACTCGGCGTCGTATTGGATCAGAGGAATGTAGCGGACGCGGTTGCGTTGCCACAATTACGAGCATGCGAGTGCTTGAAACACTCCACTAAGCACGTTCTATTCGCCTCTCGTTACAGCAATTTGAACGAACGTATTGATCATGTGAAAAACTCAAGATGTCAGCTTGCACTGGGTAAAAGGAAATAACGGCTCAAGCGTAAAAAAATTGCTAACAACGAAATTTCGACAGTTGATTTATACACTGGAACAATTTAGAAATACATACCTGTGTCCAATCGACTTGTACCTAGTCAGACCGCCCGCGTTTAGGAAGCTACCCGAGCGAGGAATGGCTACTTTCGTTAGTATATCACCGGACTCGTTTATAGACTTTCTTCCACTCTGACTTCTCCGTAGAGGCTCTTTGGGAGGCTCCGGTGGGGCTTCCGAAGGCGGCTTTAATGGTATCGGAGGAGGTAGGGTCGGTGGTCTCTGTATACTCTTCCGTCGTTCCAACTCTCTAAACAGTTCAATTTTCTCGGAAACTTTACTTCGGACGGAGGATTCGCTGCTGTGTGTGTTTTTGAGATTCTGAAGTTGGCGGAGGCTGGGATTCTGAGCCTTCTTCATGGACTTCTTCGAGCCCTGCGTATCGCTGCCACTTGTGTCGTTATGCTTAATTGAATCCAGTTTAGCTTTGACTTCCTCAACTGTGATTCTTTTCACATCGGCGGGAGGGATCGACGGAGGTGGGGGAGGGCGCGGCAGGCTCTCTGAAGACAACTTCTTCGTCCTTTCCAATTTGGGTTTTTCCGTGAACGATTCGCAGGCAGAGAACCCGTCTGCTCTATCACTGTCACCGCTCAACGAGGAGGTGCTCCTCTTCTTGCGCGGCGGCCTGAGTGGTATTTCGTTTGGCGACATGCTGCTTCCAACGCTCATGCAGCTGACTCCGTTTCGATTCTTGAGCTTCTTCTTGTCAGTGTGACCCTGCCGGCTCATGTGCGCCATCAGAGATTTGTATAACGTGGCCGCTATTACTATAGCGTCCTCTGTCGTCTGACATACAAACCCATGACACTCCAACTGCTTTGCGACGCCGATCTTCCTCATCACAACAGCGAAAAGGGGTGAATGCGAGTTTTCGTTGTGGGAGAGGATATACTTTTTGTCTGGTGACTCTAAAGTTTTGAAAAGGGCTTGTCGGTCGATGTTATCAGGATCGGTGATAAGGGGCAGGAAGGCGTAGCATAGATCGCGGTCGTCTTCTTCGGAGGGTTGTACGACGAATTTAACTGCTGACCAGACTGCTATCGTGGGGAAGGGGTTCAGTTGTTCGAGGTCGCCTTTTTCTCCTTTGTATCGTACTTTTAGTCCGCTTTTTGAGATTTCTAATCGCCCGTTGAGGGCGTTTTTATGGCGGTAATTTCTTCTGTACGTGAAGTACAGGTCTCTTAGAGGTGTTTGGAGTCCAGAGAGGCTGGTGACCTTACTGTGCAGAGCTGTGGAGCCGAGGTAGTGCACATTGAAGATGTGCACGCCGATGCTCTCGACTGCCTGCTTGGACTCGCCCGCCATGTCTGCGAACATTCGTTCTATACGATCCTGCACTGTGTTGTTGACATTGCTAATTTTGCTTTGACAGTAGCCGTCGTCATCTTCGTATATTGTTACTTTGCCTTCGTGCGTTGAATTCACCTGTGGACAAAAAAATCTGCGTTAAGAAATGGTGTATATTATATTAATAGGATAACATTATCTTCTTAATTAATACCAAATTGTCCCCTAATACAAAACCTCCTCAAACGAGACCTCATTAATGAAACAGAACCCATAATTATATCGAAAGTATGAGAATTGATAGCTACAGCCTATTAGGCTGATCTAGTGCCAAATCAGCTTATAAGTTAAGACATAATTTTGAACAAACCTTTGAACAAATATCTAGTAGCATCAACTAACATACACGCAAAACAAACATTTATTTCATAAGTAACAGAGACGGTTACAGGCCTATCGCTAATTGAAGAGTAATAAGTAATGAGTGGTACAAATAGCAGGGTTATTGCAGCTTAATTAGCATTTCGTCATTTACAATGAGCTGGCGTAATAATCACATAACATCATGGCTTTGTATTTCCCAAAATATTGTGTATAGTGCGGTACGCAATGGGCACTTTTTGATAATGTTGTGATATGAATCTCATGAGATTAGGGAATGTATGTACCTACTTGTAAAATGCGAAATTCATTATCAACTTTTTCACTAAGGGACGTTATGTAGTTAATATGATGATGATGAATGAGAGTTTCGTACCACGTTGGGTGCAAACGTACTTTAAGGTCTATTGATTAATCAAACTGCTCGACTGCCTCGTTGGCTCATTGGTCGCAAGTGCGACTGCCGAGCAAGGGGTCTCGGGTTCCATTCTCTAGGATATCTCATATAGGATATATCTTGGGCAAAGTATTACTGGGTTTGTAAAAATCTCTGTAGCAGCATGGAGTCTGGAATTGTGCCCGGTATATGGCAATAGGCTCACCCCCTATTACATGGGACTCATTACATAAATAGTTAAAAGTGGGTGTTACATTGTACAGTGGCATAATGTGCACCTCTGCCTACCCCTTCGGAGATAAAAGGCGTGATGTTATATTATGTCATGTGATTAAGAAAATATTTGCGAAAGTCAAATGATTAGTTACTACTTGACAGCGACGCTGATACATTATGTTGAATTGGAAACAGCAAAATTGACGGGAAGTCGAAATATCGTTTCAAATCTTCGACTTTGCAAACTTCTTGAAAACAAAAGTACAGTGTTTAATAAGCACTACATCACTGCAGATACGTCACCTAAATCAAGACTTGAACGAAGATCCCTTCCTCGACAATTACTCTTGGACTTGACCAACAAGCCATTTGTAATTTTTTTTTTTTTTTTTTTTTCTTAAAAAAAACGTTGCCCCACACTAGGATTATCTCCTGTGTCGTGGGTGCGTTTACAAACATACAAGTTCACATACACATGACACCCAGACCCGAAACAACAATTTGTGGATCACACAAAGTGTTGTTCCGTGCGGGAATCGAACCCGCGACACGTTGCACGGCAGCCGGTTGCCCAGCCACCGCACCAACCGTGCAGTCAATTGCAGTCAATTAGACATACACAATAAACAGGGTTATCACATCTTAATTATAATGTCATAATTTACTACCGATATGTCGTAATGGCTACATACATACATCTGTAGTAATTAGTTATTACGAGTGTACATTATCTGTTACCCTTGTTTTACCATTGTAGGTTGTTACAATTACTGTGAGAGTTTCTTAATATGTGATCTAGTTTTTGTTGTTTCTTCATTAGCTAATGTTTTATGAGTATGGTGTGTTATATAATACTATCTACTGCCCGTAATTTCGTCTGCGTAGAATATGTTTTTGTTTCAATTTTTCAAAATAAATGTAACATTATGTTACACCTTAGTACATCTGCAGCTACCTTTCAATAAAAATCTAGCAAAATCTGTACCGTCATTCCAGAGATTAGCCCGTACAAACAGATAGACAGACAGACAAAATTGTAAAAAATGTTATTTTGGTATATGTATCGTATGTATATGTATTCATATGCACCTAGTAAAAAGCGTTTATTTGAATACTAGCTTTTACCCGCGGCTTCGCTCGCGTTAAAAAAGGATAAAAAGTAGCCTATGTGACCAATATACACAGCGCCATCTATACCAATACTTTTGTTTTCCCTCGGGAATGTCAAAATTTTCCATGATAAAAAATACCCTATTATTTAATCCGGACTTTAAACTTTACGTCTACAAAAATTCAAAGCAATCGGTTTAGTAGTTACGGCGTGAAAGCGGAACAAACAAACAAACAAACTTATTTTCCGATTTATAATATTACAGTAAGGATTACAAACGGACACTCCAATTTTACTCATCGGTAGAGTAATCGTTAAAAAATAGGTATATAATAATATACAATGATAGGTTCTTTGACACATCCCATGATTGGACTGGGTTACGTAAACCGTAATAGTATAATTTAGTCTACAAAATTAACATCGGTTTCGCACTACATTAAAGTTTATTTATGGGATAAGCCGGCAAACGAGCTAACGGATCACTTAATGGCAAGCTATGGACACCCTTAACACCAGAGGCGTTGCCAGCCTTTTTATTTTTGAGGATTGGAGAGATTAGGACGTTATCATTCATCTCTTAAAAAACGTATGTCATGATGAGAAGTACATTTTCATGTCTTCACCGTTAAGTTATAAAAATGTATGAAACTTCGCAATAGAGGTTTAACCCACCTCTAACGGTCAAAATTTCTAATATATAAAATTCTCGTGTCACAGTTTTCGTTGTCTACTCCTCCGAAACGGCTTGACCGATTTTGATGAATTTTTTTGTGCTTATCCGGTATCTATGAGAATCGGGCAACATCTATTTTTCATCGCCCTAAATGTTAGGGGTAGTCCACCCCTAATTTTTTTTTATTTTAAAGACAAAATTTTTAATTTCAATTTTTTGTGATACAACATACAAAAATACATACAATCCTCAATTTTCACCCTTCTACGAAATTATTTATATGGCAAAACAACGTTTGCCGGGTCAGCTAGTTATACTATAACATCACGTTTTCTAATCTCTGAAGGGTTCGACAGTTGTGCTATAATGAAGTATGCCATCCGCACTTCGCACTCGACTAAAGACGTACTCATGTCGATTTATTACCAAGATTAACACGTCCACTTGAACACACGGAAGATCTTTGTTTTATTATAATAAAATAACAATTATGAAGTGATAATAATACACACAATATGTCATAAACTTTAATAATAATATCATAAAGTTAACATCGACATGTGCAGGCATTTCTAACTTAATTTAATGCATGTTAATGTCAACATGATACGTTGTTACAGGTGTCATCGGATTTCTATAACACGTTATGACACGAATCTAGGAATGTTACTTGTCACATAGTATCACGCAAAATGTTCATGTAGGATCCTGTTTTTTTTTTTAGAGGTCAGAGGTTTAAGTATACATGTGCCTAAGTATTTTGTTTGCTATTTATGTTGTAGAAAGCAAAAGTAAGTTAAGTTTGCGAAGCTGTGTAGCAGATTTTAAAATCGTAAAACCAAGATGTTTGCTCGATCTAGGGATCAGGCAGTGTGCATTATATCTTTTGTAACGGACAAAATGATAGGAAACAGCAATCAGGAACTATTGATGATAATAAATATTAAATCTGTGACCATATATGGTTACAGCTACTGCAGATAAGCATTAAAAAATCCCTCTTCATAAAATAAAAAATAAATGAATTGTTAATGCCAATGAAGATACCTTCAAAATAAAGTTTGCCAAATAGGTAATTGGACACAAATAAAAACTATTTTCATTTTATTTTTAACCAACTTCAAAAAAAGGAGGAGGTTTTCCTGTATGTATGTTTGTGCGCGATTGGCAGAACCGATTTTGAAGCCGTTTTCAGAGAGAAGGTTTTAGTATACCTCTATTAGTCGACTTCAAAAAAGGTTTGCATCGGTTTTTTTAAGCTTAGTTTATACAAGAATTATTTCTTTTAAGATTTCGCTATACTACTAACAAATTAAGTTTCTATTTACCTTAGGGTCTCTATCTGAATTGTGCACCGGCGTGTAATGATGGCTGGTTAGGGACCTGGTGTCATCAAAGAGTGCGTCTATCTTGTGTTTGTAGGAGAGGGAGGAGATGGACGGTGCACGCGCACGCCGCGGCTCGTCCTCGCGCGCGCCCAGGCGGAACCCGCCTAGCGGCGCGCTACCGTTGTCGCAGGTCACCATCTGGAAATAAAGGAAACGAAAGTTGTAACTTATGTAATGGTTCTAATATTTGTCTAGTAATTTAATTTAGGGGGAAGCCTATGTTAAGCTGAGGACATCTTGTGGTGGATATGGTAAAAAAAAGAAACTTTAAGATGATAATTGAGTAATATTATTGTAACCCCTTGTCCAATACATATATGGCAATAGGCTTACTCCCTATTACATGGGACTCATAACATAAATAGTAAAAAGTGGGTGTTACATTGTACAGTAATATAATATGCACCTCTGCCTACCCTTCAGAGATAAAAGGCGTGATGTTATGTTTTGTTATTATTGTAACAAAAAATGTCTACATTCATATTGACAGCCCATTTTGACAATCCACTGCTGAACTATGAGCTTGTTCTACACAACGTGTAGTGTGTGGGAGAGCCATACTTCGATAGGAATGATACCACAGCCGAGCAGAAGACTGAGGTGAAACAACGCTTGCGTTGTGTTTCGTCGTGTGAGTGATATTACTGAAGGCCCAATTACTCTCCCCAATCTCCTCAATTCCTGAATACCCAACAATCCTCAAATTTCTAATCCCCAAAAGGCCGATAACGCAATTGTAATGCCTCTGGTGTTCCATGGGCGACGGCGATTGCTTACCATATATCGGCCAAGGGGTGTCGGGTTCGATTCCCGGGTAGATCAAAGTATTAATGAGTCTTTTAAAAAAAATCTCCGTTGTAACACGGAGTCTGGAATTGTGCCCGATATATGGCAATAGGCTCACCCCCTACTACATGAGACTCTTAACATAAATAGTGAATAGTAGGTGTTAGGTTGTACAGTGGCATTAAGTGCCGTAATGTGCACCTGTCCCTACACCTTCGGAGATAAAAGGCGTGATATTATGTTTACCTAGACTCTCTTAACCGACTCTTACGTCACACATGAGAAGTGAAAAGGTAATGATAAATGTATTCTAACGTTTCAATAGATCTCCTATACATTATACTCCGAACTATTACTTAACACAAAGTTCCTAGCTCCATTGCATCAACAAACAGCGATAATCGATTGCTATGTAATCCGAGTACAGTTGAATGCGTTTCCATACAAAAAACTATAGTACATTATGTACAATCTCATAAAATACGTACTATGTTAATGGGTACTATGTAAAAGGTGTTGTGTGAACTTTTCGTTACTTAACTTAGATACCTATGTGTTTATCAGTGGTGTTATGGTTGTAACTTCTAACTAAAATGTATTCTTTATTCTTTGTGATAAGCCGGTAAACAAGTAGACGGATCACCTGATGGTAAGCAATCGGCGTCGCCCATGGACTCCCGAAACACTACAAGTGTTACAAATGCGTTACCAGTCTTTCGGGATTAGAAATTTGTGGATTGTTGGGGATTCAGGGGTTAGGGAAGAGGGGAGAGGGTATTTGGGCCTCAGGTAACCGCACTCACACGACGAAACACAACGCAAGCGTTGTTTCACGTCGGTCTTCTGTGAAAGTGAAGTGAAGCTATTTGCTCATTTCAAGGTGTAGATTCTTATGGAGAAGAACGAGCATGAAACGCCATAGGCTTCTTCAATCAGGTTCACAATACAATTCTCTTGTTACATAGTTTTGTTGTTTGGATTGTGCGAGAACAATGTAACACTAAAATACAGTCAAAGGCCTACGCATTTTATGTCAAAAATTATGTCTTGTGAACAATTCCCCGATACCCTTCAAATAACATTCTCTTGTTACAAATTACACACGTTTCTGATCAAAAACAATGCCAATCGCATGCCAAACAAGATTTAAAATCAATCTTCCCATAGTCATTTTCCATACATAAGTACTCACACATCTATTCATATATCTATGTACATAAGCAATGTTAATCGATGATCCGATTGATCGATTGATCGATGTATCGGTATAACTTCTTGCGTATCTATTATAGCTGTTTTAGTCTGAAACCAGTTATTGGTTTTGCACTATTTAACCCGTGTTTAGTTATATCGTTTATTTCACACTTGATTTAAATGTTTTTGTATTTGTAATAGGTAACCTGCACACTTATTTAGACTACGATTGTTGCATGCGATTTTACTTAAGACAAATAATTAGGAATGGTGTCGTTTTTAGTCGGTAAGAGACTGACACTCCCTCCCACCTCACCCAGGCAGAAGTCATTCGATGATTCTCTATACTTAACATTATGATAAGGTAGATTGATAGTATCATAGCTTAGCGTAAGCAATGCTGGCGTTTGCCCATAGCTTTTAGGGCCATAAATCACGGGTCGCCATTTATTTTAAGGGGGGAAATTCATCAAATGACTGCTCCCGCCTGGGTGAGGCGGGAGGGAGTGTCAGACTCTTACTGACTAAAACCACTCCGTTCCTTCTCCTGCACGTCGAGCCGGAGCCCCGGTAAACCGTTAGGTTCTCCGCGACAGAGCCGTAAATCACGGGTCGCCATGACGATATGGCCAGCGACGTGGCCAACTAGATCATATTAAGATGCATGGAGACTAACTCACTTGGCGACTAACTGGCGAGTTACATTTCAATACGAATTAGTTGGAGGCGTTGCTGGTCACGTGGCCATGGCGTCTCGGTAAGTTATGGCCTTTCAAGAGGTCTCAAGAGGCTTCATACAGGGTTTCATCAGTTAGCAGCATGAACTTTTCTTTTACTTATCTAAAGAAATAGGGTCCACGCCTATATCAAACGCTACGCATCTGTTATGATTTCTTTTCAGTAACATGTTTATAAAAACCCGATGAACCTACAACTTAGGAATTGTTTGACCTGATACCTGCCGCATCTTTTCGCCATCGACCCTCATCATATAGATGGTGGGCAGGCCACCACTGTGCGCTTCTCACATAGCTACCTACCTCGCACAGGAAAAAATGAATGATCTGTCGTCGGCGGTATTTCCGAACCGATACGACCTTCAAACCATCAAGAAAAGAGCGTATTCCTTTTAGCCGGCAACGCACCTGTGACTCCTCTGGTGTTGCGGGTGTCCATGGGCGGCGCTGATCGCTTACCATCAGATGATCTGTCTGTTCGTTTGCCTCCTATTTCATAAAAAAAAAACCTACAACTTCGGTACTCTTAACCCAAACGCAACGCTAACATATTCCAATCAAATTCATAACGCTTAACGTGTCCGTTGTTTTTTACTGCAAGCTTGACTAATTAACCTTATATACGTTCATTAATTGCAATCAGTCAGACATTTGACGGTTCTGATTGGCATTAGATAAAGAAGTGTTATACAAAATGCATTAGTTTCGGAAACTATAGACGTTGTTTACAAATAACACATGAATGGCGGAATAGTTTTTTATTTATTTATTTATTTATTTATAAACTATGTACATACTAGACGGAATAGTAAGGACTTCATGGTCATGAACAGCATGTCATTGGTGACTTTTGGACTATGACTAGTACTATAAACCTTCTCTACATAAGATTTAGCGATCTTTTCGCTCGACAAGAACCTTGGAAAAAATAACAGCATAACATCACGCCTTTTGTCCCCGAAAGGCATTCAGTGCAGTAATGTGCACCTCTGCCTACCCTTTTTTTATGGCATAAGCCGGTAAACGAGCAGACCGATCACCTATTGGTAAACAATCGGCGTCGCCCATGGACACCTGGAACACCAGAGGTTTTACAAGTGCGTTACCGGCCTTTTGGGGATTAGGAATTTGAGGATTGTTGGGAATTCAGGGATTGGGGAAGGGGGGGGGGGTTAATTGTACCTCCGGTAACCTCATTCATACGACGAAACACAACGCAAGCGTTGTTCAGTGTGCAAGAATTTCGTTTGCTATCAATTAATTAATTACAGAAGCAAATATTGTGTAAACAAATTAATTACTCTTCGCTCTACGTTCTCATTTTCACGTGACACGAATATCCTTAATCAATAATTATGTATCCGCTGAAAGCAAAAGTTTAGGAAATGACAAACTAGGTAATTATTGCTTAATTAGATATATTATGTACATTTCCGAAACTTTCAAATTATTTATCGAAAATACACTTGTATTTATTTCATACACAAGATCTTATATAAATAATATATTGAGGTTACTAACTAAGGGAAGGTGAGGTAAGGTAGGTACTACGACTGCCTCGTTGGTCAAGTGGTCGCAAGCGCGAATGCCGGGCAAGGAGTCTCGTGTTCGTTTCCCAGGTCGGGCAAAGTACAACTGGGTTTTTGTAAGTGTTGAAGAGCCATGCTTCGGCACGATTGGGCCGGCTCGACCGGAGTGATACCACCACGTGATATCACAGAAAACCGACGTGAAGCAACGCTTGCGTTGTGTTTCGTCGTGTGAGTGAGTTTACCGGAGGCCCAATTACCCTCCCCTTCCCCAATCTCCCCAATTTCTGAATCCCCAACGATCCTCAAACTCCTAATCCCCAAAAGGCCGGTAACGCACTTGTAACGCCTCTGGTGTTCCAGGTGTCCATGGGCGACGCCGCGCCAATTGCTTACTATAAGGTGATCCGCCAGCTAGGTTACCGGCTTATGCAATAAAAAAATAACTTTACAGATTTTTATTCAAATAACGATGAGAATGTAATAATACAATTATAGCACTGGGCACTTACTTTCTGATAATCCAGTGGGCCTTGGGCCCAAGATTTATTAGCATTTTACAGACACACCCTCACCAACTATCGAGAACACCTGAAACAAAGAAAATAGTCATATTAATTTCATTTGTTAGGGAAATAAAGTAAATATTACAATACTTTGAATTTTATTACAGTTTTATTACAGTCAATAAACTAAAAAAAGGGTGTCGTGGTGGCTCGGAGGTTGAAGACACCTGCTTTTCATGCACGAGGGTGCAGGTTCGAAACCTACCAACGGCAAGTACCAATGTGACGTTTTCCGAGTTATATGTACTTTCTAAGATTATCTACACACCACTGACAAACGGTGAAGGAAAACATTGTGAGGAAACCTGGGCTTATAATTTCTAATT